ATATTGAACATTAGGTGATAAATTAGTTGAGATTAATATTGAACATTCTCATTGATATTATACGCTAAAAAAATAAAGCTGTGACTAAGATAAACGTATCATTATAGAATAATACTTACAATAGATAATAATTATACAATAGAATAATTCTACTGTAAATTCGTTTAAATGAAAGAAAGAATATACATTCTTATAATATAATACATAACTTAAACATAACATATAATACATAAGTAATATAATATAATAACAATAATATACATTGTTACTTCTCAAAAGATATCTATACTAATAAAGAAGTAAAATTTGTTTGTATGTAAGGGTTAATCTCTGGTACTACTGAACCGATTCTAAACATTTTTGCAATAATCGAAAGCTACACAGTTAAACTTTTCATTGGGGCACACAAAATTATTACCTTTTTTGTTATCATTTAGTCATTTTTAATGGGTAGAATTCATATATCTAAGTTTCAATGTTAGTAATCCAACGGTTTAAAAATTATTCGTATCTAAAGTTGAACATTTTTGGCGTATTTCGCAGGTTAATGCGACGCCATATTGGTCTTTACCGGTGCTCTGTTGGTCAATTAGGTAGGCACCTTCTTTCGTAAAGTTCATTCCAAAAACGTACATTTTGAAAAAAAAAAGTCTACTTTAGACAATTTTTAGCAAACCTATAACTATTAGAGAAAAGAAACAACGTTTTGTCATTTGAAAAATTCCTAACTTTTCTTAGTTCAGTACAAAAATCTGCAAAAATTCACAAAATGGTTTTTAGTAGGGTAATGTAATATAAAAAAATTCCAGCCAAATCAAAATTGGTTAGGTCCAAAAGTGGTCGAAATGACTTGTTAGAATGCCCTCTGTATACAGGGTGTTCAGGCTAATACTAGCCAGCGTTTGTCTCGTAATTGATACATGTTCACAGAAATTGAAGGTCACCTTAATTTCTCAGAAAATAGTACAAATACGAAAGATCCATATACCTAGTTACATTGCACACAAAAAACCGTATAAATTTTTCCTCTTTCATTTTTCTGTCATACATACCATTTACGAGAAAAACGCTGGCTAGTAATAGCCTGAACACCCTATATAATATATCTTTAGCTTCATTTTATAGATAAAATAATTGTGATGTATTCGAATACGAACTTTGTTATTGTTCTTCTTTTTTATTGTACATGCAGGTAAGACTGCTGGACGTTTGCCAAGGAAATTACCTGCATTTGCCATCCGCCGATGGTAGATCGGAGAGGCCAGATCGAGGACTCACCTTGTGGCTGGTGTTTGAGCATGTGGAAAGAGATCTCGCGTCCTACATGTCCTCGTGTCCACGACCTGGTATTCCGTCGCAGCTGGTGAAGCGGATGTCGAAGGAGATACTGAAGGGTGTCGAATTTTTACACAGTCACAGAATCATACACAGAGACTTGAAGCCTCAGAATCTCCTCGTGTCGAAAGAAGGGAGAATAAAGATCGCTGATTTCGGACTGGCGAAGACGTACGATTTCGAAATGCGATTGACTTCCGTGGTAAGTTGGACGTATTACCCGGAAAACCTGTTAAAATACCAGAACTCTTGTAAAACGACTAGAACTTAAATGAAATATTTACGTATAACTTCGTTGCTTCTACAAATATCGGTATATGAGTATATGCATTCACAAATACATTTTTAAAGACATATATTAGGTTGTCCCAAAAGTATCTTTCGTAATTTGCACTCAATTATTTTGTACGGTAGTGTTTATATAAATAGACCATCTAATTTCTTAGATGTTGGTGTTGTAACAGTAATGGAGCAAAATGAATCGTACACGATTCAATGATGTAACGTTAGACATAAAATATTGTGTATGTATGATAGAACACGTGAGAGAAAGGGCTAAAAAAGCCAACGTACTGATACGGCAAGTTTGGGGCATCGGGGAAAGAAAGTTTAAAGACTGTTCCAAGTGGAAGGTATTTATGTTTGATCGTCTAGTCAAGAGCGTGATGTTGTATGGGACGGAACTAAATGGGTGGAAAGAAAGGGCGGAGTTGGAAAGAGTATAATATAAATTTGTGAGATGGATTCTAGGTTTAAGCAGAGAAACGCCAAGATATATATTATTAACAGAAACAAAAAGAGAAAGGATCAGAATAGAGATAGGAAAGAAAGCTCTAAAGTTTGAAGACGGAATTAGAAAGGCAGTG